ATAATATCGAAACCACAAGCCTACTGCAGCTCTATCTATATCGGTGGGAGGTAGATACTTTATACTTCCTGTGATCAAACGGTCCAACGCCAAGCATACGAGAGGACCACAATCCCCTCTGGGTCCTTTCATTTGTTGTGGTGCGGTCTCGTCTCTGCTAACTGTAACATTGAGCTTCTTTGGCTTCTTGTTTCCAGAAAGAGTCCAATAATTTATTGCATCCAAGAATTTATCCAAATAAGAGCTCCATCCCTTAATAATATCTCTTAAATCAGCCAATGATATGTAATTTATCATGCTGTCATATACTATTGTCTTAAGGGATGGGATCTGAAGCTCGACGAGAAGCCAATGGTTACGTTCCAAAACAGGGATAAACACCTGCAATCATAAGTAATAATTCATTCATTTGCGCACTTATTTATGAATACCTTTATACTCAATCTAAAATAAACACTAACCTTATCGACCTCCCACCATGCAGGATAAAGTTTAGCTTGTCCATTGCCCAACGCAAATGATTCATCTCGTTGATTCTTCAAGTGAACGGCGTTAAAAGACGTCGGCATAATTGTATATCGTGTATTTCTTTTATTTTCCTTAAGTTTCCTAATTATTAGAAGACGTGACACCCACGCATCGATATGCTGTTTTACAAAAAAAGACATATATTAGTAACTTACATAAATTTAAAAAAAATAATCAAATTAAAATATAAGAAAAATATAAGACTTACCCCTCCATCGAAATAGCCATTGTCTTCGACCCCTAATAATACGCCCCACCAAGACCGATCAAGTAACAAATAAATATCATCGTTGAGCTTGCATATGTCAGTGAAACACCCCTGGCTTCGCTCATGTAGATAAAAATCAACTGCGGTCTTAGCCCAAAGGGTGTTATCCAGAATTATGTCCGGTAGTTGTTTCCTCTCCACTTTAGATACCGGTATAGTACTGGCCGATAACTCATACGAGAGCCAACTTGAATCCATCATGTCCGGCACGTCAGAGGGTTTCTCAAGAATCCTACATATGACGCCATGTGAATCGGGATCTTGAATGGTGGGAGGGACCTCTTCAACGATGACAGTGGCCTCTTGAATGATGGGAGGGGACTCTCGAGGAATGATAGGGGCCTCTTCAACGATAGGAGTGGACTCTTGAGGGATGACAGGCGAGTCGGGCTTCTTCTTGCGGTGTCTTCGCACTATTGGGGTATACGGAGACTTAATAGCACGTGCACGCCGTCTGATGCGTGAACTCTGTCGTGCAAGAAAAACCCGACGTAAAGCATCCACCTTATCGGTCCGCTAAATAATTAAATACAAATATCAGTAAATAAACAGACATGATATTTAAACAGTGAAAACAAAGACAAATATATTTCAAACTTTCAACCAAAAGACAAAACAAAGACAAATATTAACTTCATAGTGTTAAAGAATACACAGTTTAGCAGAATTGGCAGCAACCGAATAAATTTACTTCAACCAAAAGATAAAACAAAAAGACAAATACTAACTTCACAGTGTTAATAAACAGTTTAGCAGTATTGGCAGCAACCGAATAAATTTACTAAGCAATCTAAGTGAAATGGTTAATTTAAGTGAAATTACGAGTAAATTTATCATCAAGTTAAATATGAAAAATCTTAAACTTACCTCGTTGTGTAGAGTATGAACCTCATTCTGCAACGATACTACCATCTCACGTAGAGCGGCAACCTCACCATGTAAAGTAGACACCTCCACACGCCATGCACCATCGTTATCGCGTAGAGTACCGATCTCCTCACGCAAGGCATTGACCTCATCACGTAACTCCCTTGACTCATCCCGTGGAGGTGGAGAACAGGGAGATAGAAGTCGTGGCATCTTTTTCGGTCGCCTATCATGAGGTGATAGTGGAGAAGAGGCTCGATGATGTGACAGGATAGGTGATGGCTCTCGTTGTAGAGGTGTATAGTCGGGTCGATCAGGTGATGGCTCTGGGTGAGGTGATGGCTCTCGAAGTGGAGGAAGTGGAGGCTGTTCATCATTCGTGCCATCAAGAAAACGCTGACTAGCTTGCCACCAATCAGTGGCAAGCTCAGCCTCCATGGGTGTCAGTCTCATTAATGGAATGTTGGCCTCCTAAAAATATAAAAACTCAAACAAAGTTAAACGTCTACTATTAATAACTTGTTTATATATGATAGTATTTGTCTTAACTTACATTATTTATTGTCGCATATGGTATTAAGTCTTCCCAATCCAACAGACGTTTCCTCTTCCAGGAAATAGCCCTGGGAATATCATTTGAAGTTTTTATTGCATATGTCTTCATGGCGGGAAAGGCCTCGAATATCCAAATCTACAAACAATATAATAACAAACATTAGTAATTGTTAAATAATTAATTATAATTTTGAAAACATTATATAGAAATTCTTACCTTAAAGGCCCAAACAAAGCCTGACAAAGTGTATTTCGACCCATCGCCCCGCAAACTTTTGCGGTCATCAAAGGCAGACGACAACTTAGTCCAGGTAGCTTTCCATATATACGAACCCCACGGAAACAGATTCCATGCATTTAGGTCCTCTACCAATAATATTAGCTCCTGAGGAATAGGTTGTCTGGCCTCTCTGCCTAAAAAGCCGGCATACAAAAGTAGTAGAAGGCATACTCGGACAACATCGACGTCATTCATCCGAGTAAAATCATCTTTCTTATTAAACAATTTCTTCATGTCGTCGACGTGTAAGTTCGGCTTCTCTATTGACTCATCAGGAAAAACCCTGGATAACCATGATGGGCGGGTGATATGACGAGTGTACCGGCCTACATCATCGTGTCCGAATCGTAGACCAGTGATTAAGCAGAACTCCTTCCGCCCAAAACAAGTATACGCCGGTGGAAAATGAAACCATATCTCTTCCTCACCACGTTGTATACTGTCGGGTAGATCGCTAATCATGGTCTGAAGCCACAAATGGGTCAAATTAGCATCTCCACCCGGATGCTGTACTCTCAGCCATGGCACGAAGCAGGTTTCCTCAAACAATTTTCTTTGTGCAGGTGAAAGCTTCAAAGCAATTGTAGTGGCTAGGCTAACTTTATTCCTTAATGTCAATGAAGCCGAAAAAAATTTCTACAAAAACAATAAACATACCAAGTTAGATATACCAAAACTACACTGTCAAGATATACCAAAAACAATAAACATAAATAGTAGTTTATTCTTGAAACTAAAATTTGCAACAATGTTTTGTCTTTTGGTTGAAATGAAAATCGCAACGAGATAATGAGAATCGCAACGCGGAAATGACTATCGCAACGAGAGAATCGCAACGCGAAATGAAAATCGCAACGCGAAATGAAAATCGCAACGAGAGAATCGCAACGCGAAATGAAAATCGCAATGCAATTTTGGTTTCGCGTTACGATTTTTATTTCGCGTTGCGATTCTCTCGTTGCGATAGTTATTTCCGCGTTGCGATTTTCATTCTCGAAACTATTCTTCTTCTGCATTACTTCAACCAAAAGACAAAACAAAGACAAATACTAACTTCACAGGCTAAACAGTTTAGCAGTATTGGCAACAATCGAATGAATTTAATAAGAAATCTAAGTGAAATGGTTAATCTATTATTGAAATTACCAGTAAACTTATCATCAATCTCAATATGAAAAACCTAAAATAATGCAAAAATTTTAAAATAAAAATAAAACAAAACTAACCCTCGGAGGTTGATTTTCCATTTCTGAATGATTGTGAGGGATTTTTGACTGTGAATGGTTGTGAGGGATTTCGCCGGCGATGGGGACGGAAATCTTCGGAGATTGGGACGGATTTCGCCGTAGAGAGTGAGAGATGGAGATGGGACTGAGTGTTGTGATTTTAGGTTTGAGGTTATGAGTTGCGATTACTGTGGACGGTTCAGTTTCCGATTTATTAAGAAAAAATACGTGTTTGGAATTTGAAAAAAAAATACGCGTTAATACGAATGGCGCTATGTAAATCACATTGTGATAGTAAGATTCGCATTGCGATTTACGTATTCGCATTACGATTTTCCTAATTCGCATTGCGAATTATGAAAATCGCAACGCGAATACGTAAATCGCAATGCGAATTAGGAAAATTGCATTGCGATAGTCAGTATCACATTGCGATTTACTTATTCGCATTGCGAATTGGGAAAATCGCAACGCAAAATTGGAAAATCACATTGCGATAGTCATAATCGCGTTGCGAATCTAGAAACTGATTTGCGATAATGGAGATCGCGTTGCGAATTAACGATCGCATTGCGATTTTGTTGGTCATTTTGGAAAATCCGGAAAAAGTTGGTTAAAATCATATATTATATGGGATTTTTGGTCATTGAGGTTATTTTATCCTTTTAAAAACTGTTAATAAGTAGGTTGTTATCTACTTCTCAAAGAGCAAAGTCAGCCGCATAGTTTTTCTTCAAATTTTGAGCATCGAATTCTTTGATATTCAAATAGCAAGGACATCAGCTTCTGGGTTTTCAATTCAAGTTCTGCTTCACTCACGCTCGCACGCCGCTCACCCAGACACGAAGCAGCTATGTCACCAACTCACCGCCGCCCCTCGCCTCTAACCTTTAAATCTTGTTTGTTTATTGAATAGTTATTGTTATCCTGGTTTTGTTGTCATTTCATTATGATGTTGATGTAATGTGTTTCTAAGGGTTGATTTTGGATATTTTCTATATCCAAAATCTGCGAGTGTCGGATATGAGTATGTCACATATGGGTATAATCAAATTTTTCTTAGTTTTATGTATTTGGAGGATTTTTGGAGGTCATATCTGCATGCCCGTTTCTTAGACACAAGTTTCAGATGTAGTTATTTCAAGACAAATGGAGAGTTGGAATGACATAGTTTAAAATCCTACTTCCAGGCATTAAGAGTTGTATTGTAGCTCTATTTATATCATAAATGAGCTTACTTATCGGTTTGTTTTTCTTGTGCGAAAATGTAGAAAGGATGGACAAGACACCCGGGATTAGTTGCAGAAGAGAAACCTCCGTGATGAGCTTGAAGAGTGTGAACAGAGGCATTTCTCATCAAAGGACAAGTCCTATAATGGTAAAGAGGAGAGCATTTTAGCCATCCTTTGTTTATTTACATGAATTCTTGTCTTCTATATTTATGGTCACCATAAATTCCCTATCGTTTTGTTCTTAATATGAGAGTATATTGTTGATGATAGAGATCATAGGAAGGGGAACCATCTTCTTTTGGAAGGTAAATTGTCTGATGGCCTGTTTGTTATTGAATTAATGAGCTCTCAAAGAACTTTACCAACTGTGTATGTGACTTGTAGGGGGGAAAAGGGAGACTGAAGACCGAATTTTTCCACGCAGTGTTGACGCTGATGATTCTGATGTGGAATTGAACAATGATGACGAAAGGTTCTATTTGCTTCCTCTATCTCTATTTTTATGCTTGTCCAATTCATCTCTGATGATTAAATTAAGTTTATTGGATCGTTTAGAAGGCACGCTGTAACATATGGTATATTGTTTGATGATTTGTCTTTCTGAAGTCAATAGAACAGTAAATTGAAAAAGCTGGTAGTTACATTGTGTGTGCAATCTATGAAAGACCTATCCCTGTTGTTATTGGTAACTTATGGATATTGCTGCTTTTCTACTCTTTTTAAATATCTTAATTTTTGTCTTAGTGACGGTGACGACGACGAGGATGATGAGGATGACGGAGAAGCTCTTATGGCTGAGCTTGAACGAATAAGGAAAGAGAAGGCTGAGGAGAAACTCTGTCAGGTAAACTTGATATCAGGGTTTTAAAAAACGGTTCACGACCGCGATTTTGGCCGTGATATAGCGGTTTCGTTGCCGTCCGAGTTACCCACGACGGCCGCAATAGCGTCCGCAATCGCGCTCGCGATAGCCGCAATCACTGTAAATCCGAAAAAACCGAAAACGCGACCGCGACCGCGATTTGAAACCCTGCTTGATACCATAGTTTCATTGCTAGTTGCTCTAGAGCTTCTATGCTTTTAGATATCCTCTTGATTTTACAGCTATGGAGTGTATGGTTTAAAATATTTCATCAATAACGAAAGAAATGGCTTATGTTTGGGCAGGAAAAGCTAGAGCAAGAAGAACAGCTAAAAGCCAAAGAGGCTGAAGAATTTCATTTGTTGTAATATTGGCGATATAGTGAAGTTATCATCCGGTGTGGTGCCCGAGGAGTAGACAATATTCTCGTCGAACCTCGTAAATTTGGTGTGTTCTCTCCTTTATTGTTTTTTATTCGGTTCTTTTCCATTGTGTTTCAATATTCAATAGTTTGACAGGTTTATCCGCTGTGCAACCTTTGGTGGTTTTAATCTTGACATTTTAGGTCAATTTTAAAACTACGTTCGTGTGGAAATAACCCGTTTTCCCCAACAATTGGCATTAGAGCTTCGGTTGAGGTTATCTTGGTGGTTCCGTTGCTGAAAAGATACAGTTTGTGATATTGAATATTGTTCGTTAGAATTAAAATGCCAAAATACGGATCAGTTGAGACATCAAGCTCTTCATCTGGACCGGTGAAGAGGGTGATGTCAAATGCAAATTTCTCGGTGGAGTTGTTCGATGGATCCGGTCATTTTGGCATGTGGCAAGGAGAGGTGTTAGACGCTTTATTCCAACAAGGTCTAGACATCGCCATTGAGGAAGAAAAGCCCGAATATATGAAGGAGAAAGAATGGAGAACAATCAATCGTTTGGCGTGCAGCACGATTCGATCTTGTCTTTCCAGGGAGCAGAAGTATGGCTACAAGAATGAGACTTCTGCAAGTAAGATGTGGAAAGCTTTGGAGAAAAAATTCCTGAAAAAAAGCTCTCAGAATCGTCTCCACATGAAGAAAAGATTGTTCAGATTTGATTATCAACCAGGCACCAGTATGAATGAACACATCACTGCGTTCAATGAGCTAGTGGAAGACTTATTGGGCATAGATGAAACCTTCAAAGATGAAGATTTGGCTTTGATGTTGTTGTCATCTCTTCCAGATGAATTTGAGCACCTTGAGACAACGTTACTTCATGGTAAGGATAATATTACCCTTAAAGATGTAACTGCTATTTTGTATAGTTATGAACACAGGAAGAAAACCAAGAAGGAGAGCAAGTACGAAGCAGCAGAGGCCATGGTGGCAAGAGGTCGCTCGAAAAGTCAAAAGCCAAAGTGGAGAGGGAGATCAAAGTCGAAGTCCAGACTGGGAAAAGATGAATGTGCCTTTTGTCATGAGAAAGACCATTGGAAGAAAGATTATCCGAAGTTGAAGAATAAAGGAAAAGCTGCTCCATATGCATGTGTTGCAGAGCATGATGCACATAACTCTGACATATCATTGGTTTCTTTATCAACAACATTCCATTTCGATGAGTGGATATTATATTCGGGTTGCACCTATCATATGTCCCCTAATCGGGAGTGGTTCTCCGATTTAGTGGAACTAAATGTAGGAGTTGTTTATATGGGCAATGACAATGCCTGTAAAACTGTTAGGATAGGTTCAATTCGATTGAAGAATCAAGATGGATCAACCAGAGTTCTGACGGATGTCCGATACGTGCCCAGTTTGAAGAAAAATCTCATCTCGTTGGGAGTCTTAGAATCCAAAGGCTCAGTAGTCACTATGAGAGATGGAGTTTTAAAAGTCACATATGGCGCACTTGTGATGATGAAGGGCATCAGGAAAAATAATTTGTATTACTACCAAGGTAGTACAATTATTGGAGCAGTTGCAGCAGCTTCCGGAGGTGATGATTTGGATGCAACCCAGTTGTGGCATATGCGGTTGGGACATGCTGGAGAGAAATCCTTGCAAATTCTGGCAAAGAAAGGATTGTTGAAAGGTGCAAAGGCTTGCAAATTGAACTTTTGCGAGCATTGTGTTCTGGGAAAGCAGAAGAGAGTGAAGTTTGGCACCACTATACATAATACAAAAGGTATTGTAGATTATATTCACTCAGATGTATGGGGTCCTTCAAAGACATCGTCTTTTGGAGGAAACCATTATTTTGTAAATTTTGTGGATGACTTTTCCAGAAGAGTTTGGGTGTATCCGATGAAGTCTAAAGATGAAGTGCTTCAAATTTTCCTGAAATGGAAAAATATGATCGAGAACCAGACTGGTAGAAAGATCAAACGTCTTAGGACGGACAATGGAGGGGAATATAAAAGTGACCCATTCTTTGACGTTTGCCATGAGTATGGTATTGTTCGACATTTCACTGTTAGACATACACCACAACAGAATGGGGTGGCAGAGCGTATGAATCGAACACTATTGGAGAAAGTTCGATGTATGTTGTATAATGCTGGGTTAGGCAATGCATTTTGGGCTGAGGCTGTGACATATGCTGGCCATCTCATTAATCGTCTGCCGTCATCAACGATAGGAGGAAAAACACCATTGGAGGTATGGTCTGGAAAACCTGCTACTGATTATGATTCCTTATATGTATTTGGATTCACTGCTTATTATCATGTGAAGGAATCCAAGCTTGATCCGAGAGCAAAAAAGGCTCTCTTTATGGGAATCACCCATGGAGTGAAGGGGTTCCGCCTTTGGTGTTTAGACACCAAGAAGATAATTTGTAGCAGAGATTTTACCTTTGATGAATCTGCCCTAGTAAAGAAGGTAACAAGTGAAGCTATCCAGACAAGTAGTACTCCGCAGCAGGTGGAGTATACTCTAAAACAGGTGGAGTTTCAGCAGATGATGATCCCAGAAGTTGATGCAGTTGATTCTTCAACTCCAATAGAAGAATCAGAGGATGAAGAGGTTCAAATCCAAGAACCATTGGAGACACCAGAAACATTTGCAGTTATAAGGCCAAGGAGAGAAATTCGTAGACCTGCTCAATTTGTTGATATGGTGGCCTATGCTCTTCCAGTTGTTGATGATGATATCCCTATCACTTACCAAGAAGCAATACAAAGCTTGGAAAGTGATAAGTGGAAAAGTGCCATGGATGAAGAAATACAATCTCTCTAAAAGAACAACACTTGGAAACTGGCACAATTACCGAAAGGTAAAAGAGCCATTGGATGCAAGTGGGTATTTGTAAAGAAAGATGGATCTCATAACAAGAAAGATGTTCGCTACAAGGCACGGTTGGTAGCTAAAGGCTACGCTCAAAAGGAGGGAATCGACAACAATAAAGTATTTTCCCCTGTTGTGAAGCATTCCTCCATTAGAATATTGTTGGCCTTGGTAGCACAGTTGAATTTGGAGCTAGCTCAACTTGATGTAAATACGGCTTTCTTGCACGGTGATTTAGAAGAGGAGATCTATATGACTCAGCCAGAAGGATACAAAGATGGTGGTCGTAAGAAATGGGTTTGTAAGCTGAACAAATCGCTATATGGATTGAAGCAATCTCCGAGGCAGTGGTACAATCGATTTGATAGCTTTATGAGGAGGCAAAAGTATACTAGAAGCAAATATGATCATTGTGTGTATTTGCAAAAGCTCAAAGATGGATCTTTCATTTATCTTCTCTTGTACGTTGACGATATGTTGATCGCTTCGAAGAGTCAAAAGGAGATAGACAAATTAAAGGCTCAGTTGAATCAAGAGTTTGAGATGAAAGATCTAGGTGAAGCCAAGAAGATTCTTGGTATGGAGATAAGCAGAGATAGACAGAGAGGGAAGCTTTGTTTAACACAAAAGCAGTATCTGAGAAAGGTATTACAATGTTTTGGCATGAATGAAAATACCAAACATGTAAGTATCCCATTGGTTTCTCATTTGAAACTTAGTTCTCAATTATCTCCTAAAACTAACGAAGAACGAGTGTATATGGCAAAAGTTCCATATACTAATGCAGTTGGGAGCTTGATGTATGCAATGGTGTGTACGCATCCTGACATTTCACAAGCAGTTGGAGTTGTGAGCAGGTACATGCATGATCCTGGAGAAGGACATTGGCAAGCTGTGAAATGGATTCTACAGTATCTCCAACAAACCGTGGATGTTGGTTTAGTTTTTGAACAGGATGAAGCACTTGGTCAGTGTATGGTTGGATATGTTGATTCCGATAATGCTGGTGATTTGGATAAGCGTCGATCAACTACTGGGTATTTGTTTACTCTTGCTAAAGCCCCAGTAAGTTGGAAATCTACATTGCAATCTATGGTGGCCTTGTCTACTACAGAGGCAGAATACATGGCAGTTTCAGAGGTTGTAAAGGAAGCAATTTGGCTTAACGGGTTGATGGAAGACTTGGGAGTTGTTCAAAGTCACATTAGTCTCTATTGTGACAGTCAGAGCGCTATTCACTTAGCGAAAAATCAAGTCTACCATTCAAGGACTAAGCATATCGACGTGAGGTATCACTTTGTGCGGGAGATCTTTGAAGAAGGAAAGATTCTACTTCAGAAAATTGCGACATCAGAAAATCCTGCAGATATGATGACCAAGGTGGTAATAGTAATCAAGTTCAATCGTTGTTTGAACTTGATTAACATCCTGAAAGTATGAACACCTTCGGGTGTGTGGCGCTTGTGAGCGCAATTAGAGGCACTACAAATTTGAGGAGTTGAAGAAGTTGAGTAGGCTTGGTAATTTCAAGCCAAGGTGGAGATTTGTTAGATTTGTCTAGAAATTAAGTTGACAAGTTGGAAATTTCATCTTGGTTGGTGGCCAACTTATTGGAAAGTTCATCTTGGTTGGTGGCCAAACTTTGAACATGTGAATTTCATATTTGGTGGCTAACTTGTACACATTGAAAAATTCTTTGGTAGGTGGCCAAACTTTGAACATATTGTTCTTGAAACTCAACTATAAATAGGCCTAAGTATTTCCATTAGAAATCATCCAAAAACAAGTTCTCTCTTCCTCTTGTATTCTTCATTCTCCTACTTTGAGAATTCCAAAGAATTCCATTTGTTGTAATATTGGCGATATAGTGAAGTTATCATCCGGTGTGGTGCCCGAGGAGTAGACGATATTCTCGTCGAATCTCGTAAATTTGGTGTGTTCTCTCCTATATTGTTTTTTATTCAGTTCTTTTCCATTGTGTTTCAATATTCAATAGTTTGACAGGTTTATCCGCTGTGCAACCTTTGGTGGTTTTAATCTTGACATTTTAGGTCAATTTTAAAACTACGTTCGTGTAGGAAATAACTCGTTTTCCCCAACATATA